CCCTAAAGTGATGAAGGGGGATGAGGGAGCGGGAGATGAAGGGATTGAGGTTATGGCTGGGAGAGAGGGAGAAGGCCAGGAATAGAGGGTTCGGGTTTGGGTCTCTGGCGAGAGAAAGGAGAGGTGACCGGTGGTCGTCGGTGTCGCGATGGCGGTGGTCGTCGCGAAAAGTTTTGAGGAGAGAGAGAGATGTATCCATGAAAGAGAAATAAGAAAAGTATTCAAGAAGAAGAACAGAAAGGGAGAGAGAGATAGACAGGGAAGGTGGGAGGCAAACGTGGGTAGGTGGAAAGGCAAACATGTGTGGTGTTTATGGAGAGAAGTTTTTGGGCGGGAATCATCTATGGATGTGGACCGTTGATATACACTCAGGATTCATTTCAGCCATTGATACAAAATGTATCTCTTAGACATTTTCATATATTTTCAAAACCTTCTTGCCTTATTATATAGACTAGTGTATGCCCGTGCCTAAAGGCACGATGTAAATAATTTTAAGATTAAAATGCAGTTATAATTTATACGTATTATGTTGAAATTTATAAAGTTTGTGTCATTTTTGATAAAGATACTGAAAAAATATATTGAAATATTTTTCTTCTTAAAGAACTTATAACAATTTTGCTTGTATTACACGCTCTACAAAACTCAAATAAAATAACAACTCTCCCTAATCTTAATGCAAATTAAGAAACAAACATATAAGATTTAAAGTTATATTGCATATCAAAATATAAAAGGCAGTAAAAAAAAGTGTAAACACTGAACAAAAAACAGAAATAAAGTTATACTATCATACACCAAAAGAGTAGGTTAAAACTTTACAAAAAGTGGGTTAAAGCTTTACAAAAGATGTGTCACTAACATGTCATACACCAAAAATTATATTGTCATACACCAAAAATATGTATGCTTTACAAAAGATGTGTCAATAACATGTCTTCAAATATGCGCTTGCCCAAACTTCCTCCTCATTACTTTCCAAAAAGTCTTTGTATAAACTTTTATGTATCCCTAATGAGGAATATGCACAACAATCTGGTAATTTGTGGAAACAAAAAAAATATAGATTAGTACATGTGTTGGAAATATATATGTCAAAATACTTTCAGATTGAAATTACCTTATTACATCCCCATTGAAGCAAGGTACTCGTATTTCTCCTTTTAAGCACCATAGATTTTTCGGTCCAATCCTACAAAAGTCCAAATTTCAAATTATTATTAAATTGAAATTTTTTAAAAAGTTATATAATCAACAGAAATAAATCTACGTGGTTACCTTCTAATAAAACGTCATTTAATCTGCATAGAATACTATAGCAACACTTCAAGATAAAACAATATTTGTAGTAGAATCCAAATTATCTTTAGGGAGGGGAATACTTATACGATCAAAGGATGTACATCTAGACAATGCCACATATAATTGCCCATGGCTAAACACTGGTATACGCAAATCAACCCCAACAAATTTCACAGATTGTCCTTGAGATTTATTAATGGTCAAGGCATATGCCAATCGGACTGGAAATTGACGTCTTGTCATTTGGAAAGGCATTTCTGAAGAAGATGGTGTCAAAGATATCCTTGGTATGAATGCCAAATTGCCAAACTTTTCTCCAGTTAAAATTTGAGCTTCAATTATGCGAGTGCCGCACCTAGTAACCATCAATCTTGTACGATTACATAGTCCATCTTTCGGTGCAATGTTTTTCACCAATATTATAGGACAACCCACTTTCAACTCTAACTTAAAAGTTGGCAACCCAGGAGGATCCAATGAATTTAAATATTCATTAGGATATTTATCTGTAATGGTAGGATCAATTTCATTATCTTCAGACATTTTATATGCTGCATGATAAGCATATAATCTCCCTGGAAAGATATTCAAGGCAGTAGTATTAATGTCACTGACATCATCGTTACGCGCAGACAGAATTGTGCGTTCAGTTAAAAATGTTGGGGTTGACGTCTCTATCATATTCAATTGTGGATAAACTGAGTAATTCATTCAAATCTTGACATTTGTATATTGTTGATTGAAGGTTAACGATTTCTTGAGGATTGGTCCCAATCTAAAAAAAAAATGAAATCAATAAAAAAGTAAGTGTAAACACAATTTATTAATTTAAAATAATCTATATAATACAGGTTAAAGTAGTGTTACCTCCATCAAGAAATTTGCAAAATTAGCATTTTCATGGCCTTCATGATTCAAGCACATATTCAAATCCAAAGTCAAGATATATATATGCTTCCATAGAACAGAGTGTCTTAATGATGCATTCACAATTTGCTCACGAACTCCTTTGGGTATAACTGGTAAGATTTGTCGAAAGTCTCCTCCAAGAACAACAGTAATACCCCCAAATGGCTTTTCACTATCACAAATATCCCTCAATGTACGATCAACCGCCTCAACACAATGTCTATGTTGCATAGGAACTTCATCCCAAATTATGAGTTTTGTTTCTCTAAATAACTCAGCTTGTAATGATTGTTTGCTAAACCCACAAAGTGAATTTTCCAAGACATCTAACGGAATGGAAAATGTTGAATGTGCAGTGCGACCTCCTACCAGTAACAATGATGCAATTCCAGACGAAGCCATAGTAACAACGATATACCCAAGGCTACGACATTTTAATGCAATCGTATTGTATAGAAATGTTTTCCCTGTTCCTGCACCCCCATTCAGAAAGAAAACAGTTCATTTATTTTGAAAAATTGAAGAAATGATTGTATTATAAGCATTCCGCTGTCCATTATTGAGACAATCAATAGTAATTTGTGGATCTGCATGTTGTGCCTCACTCTGCAGTTGTTGATGTTCAAATATCAATCGATTACTAACTCTGCACTCCAATTTGCAGTAGGTAGTGGCATGGGTGAGAAGTCAATTAAACTTTTTCCTTATTCATGAAGCATTTGATTCAAAAGATGGAGACCATAATCTTTAATTTGAGCCTTAGTTAGGTTAGAAATGACAAACAATGTACGAATCTTATGTGCAAGATCATCACATATATGCGTTGAAAATTGATTCCATAATGCATATGGATTTAGTGGAGAGCACTGGGTGAGAATAATACTAAACAATCTCCTCAATTGATATCTAGTTTTTATGACTGCAGCCTCTTTCAAGCATTGTATCTATTCTTCATCATCTTCTAAAAGCCCCCTTGTAACACATGCTAATTTAAATATATCATGCACAACATTATCGACCATACGTAAAGACTGAAACGACTTTAGGCCTTTGACAACCGTTAGTAACAAACGTAGATAAAATCTTTCACCACAATTAGGGCTAGCAAAGTACATTCTACCAATTGCATATCCTTTTTCTCTTGATTTCCATCTCTTTTTTTACTTGAGCCAAACAAAATGTTGTGGAAATTCATGATAAGTGAATGGACATTCATCTTCACTGGCAGCACAATATGCAAAGAAGCCAGTAAGAGTTGACATTTGTTGATCAGCTCTAGATTGAATCGTTTGTAATGACTCTTCTGGGTTAAAAACAACACGATGCATTCCAGGTAAATGTAGTGCGAATCGTACAACTGTTGGCATCTCTGCATGCAAAGGATGACCAAATATTCGCCAAGCAGCTTTTGGAGGTCCAATATACCTTGCATCGAGATATTGTTGAATCTCATTTATCATTCCTAACACCATCGTTGTACGATCATAACCCTTATAAATGTACTTATGTATATATTTGATACATCTCATTCCGGCACAAACTTCCACATTTATATGATAGTTGAAAAGTTTTAAAAGATATGCATTGTATGGTATGACATCCCTGTTATCAACTTCTTGCCCTCTCACAGTATGTACTTGCCCATTATTGCGACGACGATAGATAGGGTATCCATCTTGATCCATAATTGTTGTTTCTGTGAAAGCTCGAGGGTATTTCTTAGTGCATCTACCATTTTCCATACATGGTGCTTGTGGATTTCGAGCACCACATGATCCATGTACCATACAACATTTGATAGTTTCAAAAAGCATAGGATCATCTTTTGGGTCTGGAAATTCTGCACAGACCAATTTGTCTACTTGAGCACATGTCTGAATTTTGTCTGGACCCTTGAGAAATAAAAGTGCATGCATATGACGGAGGCCTTGTTTTTGAAATTCAATTGTAAAAACATGTGCAACTTTATTTCCAAACACTTCATTTTCTTCTATCTCCTTCATCAAACATTTTCTCTTCAACTCAAAAACATGGGCAATTAAATCTGGACGATCAATAGGTTTTTGATATGGTAATAATGCTAAAGTAATTTCTGGCCAATTGGGCTTTGCAGTCATGGTAAGAAAAATATCTGGGTGTTGGTTGTATCGTGTGATAGCCATTGAATCTTGAAAGATTTCAAACATATGTCTAGGACTACCAGTAAATGAAGATGGCAAAACAAACCTTTGACCAATTTGTCCATGTCGCACATAATCTAGATCCATATTTGACAACTCTTGGTAAAGCTCAGCCCGAAGTTTCCTTTGATTAAGCTTGTAGTATGTCAATTGATTTTGCTTAGTTGCAGCCCAAGCATCTACCAAAAACTCTTGAAATAGTTTCCCACCTCTCAAAATTGTTGAATACTCTGTGAGTCGTTCAAACAAACGATAACTATAAAAATTCATTCGAGTAAGTCGATCAGTTGAAGGTCGATCATACTGAACATTCCACAATTTCAACTCAGGTTCCCATCCAAGCTCACCAAATGGAAATAATAGAACATAATGTAATGGCAAGTATGCTGGGTGACATTCATTAATTTGCATCAACTCATTATTTCCTCAGAAATGTAAAATAATATCTCTCATTCCATTTACCTCTGTTCCATCACCTGGTATTACAATCGCAATCTCATCTGCAGTTGGTAAGTTATACCGACGTCGATCAGTTGTTGAACTGTAATAAAGATGAGCAGGTAGATTGTGTCCTGCCGAGTCAAATTGATGTAAAATGGCATGAGCCTAGCGAAATTTATCTACAAATGCATTGACTTGCAACAAACTATCCTGAATAGTTTTGAGAACATCCCTTCTCAAGTTAGGATTTCTACGATTACGAATTTCTAGAGCTGAATAAGGGTCATAGATATACAGCTGAGCATAACTCGCATCCTGCCCTGGTTGTGGTTGTAGTGATCCTGTTCGATGTCGCAATTCCCCATGAATTGTGAATGATGTAGGGCCCCTTCCACTAAGTACTCTAGGATCCAATGTAGCACCAAGACTCGTAAAAGCATTGGCTGCATTGTACACTCGAGTATAACTTCAAAAGGATTTTGATTGATCATTATTCCCATCATACAATGCCTGAAGTGGTGGAGGGGGTGTAATAAGTAAAGGTAGCCTAATCTTTCCTTCCAAACAGCAAGTTCCGAATAAGGGACGCTTTATAGATGATTTTGTCAAATTTTCATCCATCCAATGTAAGGCTGAACAATAAGGACATAATACATCCATCTTGCCAAGATAATGGCGGCAAGAATCTTTGTGTGCCCGGGCCTCAATTGATATACTCGTAGGCA